TCCAGGGGAGGCACTCTCATCTTACGTACACTGTTGACAGGGCATACATCTATCTCGACAGACCAACGCTGACATGTTCAAAGGCAGTACTCACAAGTTGCTTATATGTCCTCCATCTTTTTTTGACATAAAACATGAGGTAAATTTTGCATTGGTTTTATACTGTTATCTAAATCCATAATTACTGTCTTTATTACCTTACACGTGGGGCACTGACATATTTCTTGAAATATGGAAATAAGTCTATGGATGTGTCAGTACTTTATCTCTCAGCTCTCAATGTGCCCTGGGAAATGCTCTGGATCTCGGTCTGCTCTGGGGCTGCAGTACTGTTTACTTTGCTGCTTTTAAGTCTGTGTTAAGCTTGCAACCTGTCTAGGAAATCTCATCGGTCCTGCAGGCAAAACCCCAGCAGAGAAGGATCCTTAATCACCATCTGACGATAATAGACATGTACCCCTCGGACAAATGCTGTCTGTGCTGTCTATCTGTGCCTATCTTTGCGGTTCCTCTTCACGCTGTGCATTTGGGTGAATGTGCCAGGTCAGCTGTTTGCCACAATTGCCTTGCGGAAATACCTTTTCTTTTGCAGGTCTCCAGGGAGCAGCACTCTGTGTCAGTAAGCTACTGGAATGCCTCAGTTTCACAGAGCTTACTGGAACAACATGATTTAATGGTTCTTTTCCATCTCACAGGCATACTGCCTCTCTGCTGAGCAGCAGCACACTCCTGGCCTTGCAGATCCATTTTCCCATGCAGATGTCACAGAAAAGGAGGAGAAAGGCAGCCTGAGGTTGGCAAAAACACCAGCCCTGGAGCAAGCAGCCATCTTGTTTAGGCCCTCCAAAAGTTCATGCTTCTGAACATTACCATCAGTGGTAAGAATCCCTGGGCTCTCTGTTCTGGAGGTGTCAACATCTGGATTGTTACTGATGTAGCATTTTCACCAGGAGTCTAATGTCCAGTTTAGCAATTACGTGTTTCTCCTAGCTGGCCACAGTTTCCTTCCACACAGCATTTAATTCACCCCACATAAATTTAAGCACAGCCAATGCAAAGCCCACAGTCTGTTTCCACATGCCCCTATCTATTGTGAAACATAAACCAGTTTGGGTCTGTATACAAACGCTTGCCTTCATGGATATACATAAAACTCATGGACTAACCATTAAGATAGGAAGAGACTAGTCAGGTAAGTGCAGTCTACCAGTTGTACTGCGGATGTGGTGTAAGACATATTTGTATTTTACGCTTCACAGACACAGTCACCCGCATTTCTGCTCAGAATTCCTAAGTTCAACACAAGATACGTCAGAATTTCATTAGCATGATCAGCAATGTTCCCCCAACACTTTTTAGAAAGACTTCACTGTGGCCTCATTTAAAATGTTTTCTCCTTTTTCTTTCCTCTGCCCTCTTCCAACCTAGTCTTGTTAGTGTGTCCAAATGCTCACAACATTGGAGGCTTGGAGACAGATTCATAGGTACTGTGTATCAACAAGGCCTTTGACTTCCCTGCTGAGGCCTCTGGAAAATAAGATGGCATTTTTCTAAGAATAATGACAGAGAAACAATACCATTTATTGCTTGGCAGGATCTGAGACAGTTAAAGTATTTAATTCATTATGATTATACAGAATGTATCATCCTGCCAGTGGATCCCCGCCCAAGGAAGTATCCTATGAAGATGCATTCTAGATGTGTGAGAGATTAGCCAGAGCTAAGCAAGAACATACTCACATGTTCTTTGGTGTTTCTGCTGAAACTTCCAGCAAATACGAATATGCTTTTCTGAGTGAGCATCTATCCATTGGTAACTGGACTGATGGTGGTAAATATCTTCTCCAATAGAGAAAGCTGTCAGTCCCTGCTAATCCAAATAGGTTTCAGGCCAGTAAGACATTTTCTGTACTCTCTTTGCTGAACCATCACCTCCCTGTTACTGTATTTGAACTCAAATGTAATCTTCAAGATAGAATTCAAGAGAGTTCTTACAAATAGAAAACATTTTTTGTTTCCTATAGGGAGCTCATGTAGTCAAAACAACTTGTCTCAGCTGCTAATTTCTATAATTTGGGAGTCTCTGGATGTTTTCCTGTGTGTCACAGTGGATTGCATGGCAGCTTTCCATGCCTGGAAAGAAGACTTTTAAAGGAGTGAGTTTCCATTTTCAAAGGAGGTTTTAAAAATCCTCATGCACAATTGCTAATACAGCCTTGTAACCATGATAAAATCTTTGGATGCCATCCAGATTCTTGAAAGCCACCTAGGTTTTCATGTGAGCACACACACACAAATATGCACTCACCCTTTCTCCCTCCCTCAGGGTATTAGGCTTCATACATTTCATCTTCACTGAAAAAAAAACCCTTATTATCAGGACTGGGGAGCCCTATGACATTTGGGGGTGGGAGGAGGCTTTCCAAGCATTTTGAGTATTTTTTTCCAACTCCTTTGATTTCCCTGAGAACATAGGGATCTTATCAAGACATCTACCTCTGATATCCACCCTTCCTTCAGTCTTACATTCAAGGTATGGGGAATTACAGAGATGGAAAACAGGATTATTGGTGTTCATTCACCTGCCCCCTCCTTTCCAGCCCCCTATAACACTCGGAACAAGGAAATTATCTTCCTTCTTCCTTTGGAGAAGAATCAGTTCGGAAACATGGGCCTGACCTTCACATTCACTGCGGGAACCTCATGACTACCACAAGAAATCAGACCCCAACTATCCTCAGCTAACAGTTACACTGGCCCAGCTTCACATGTATGTGCAACTTTAACCTGCAAAAACCTCTTTTGGCAAGTTTACTGATATTTTATGCTGTTAAAGATGGCTTTCATGCATTGGTAGGAGTCCTCTGTGCTGGTATGAATTGTGCATGGTACTGTGCATTCTATAGAAAAATCAGGAGCGCAGTACCTTTGCAAACTTGGTACGATGATAAACAGGTCCACATGAACAGACCATCGTACAACCTGCAATGTACAGTTGTAGAACTGGCCTGCCGAGAGGCACCTCTGGCAGAGACTGAGTTGGAGTTACCTCGGTGAGACCACAGCGATCTTGACAGCAGGCACTGCAACCAATGGGCTTTAATGAAGACTTTTCATGCAGTTGCACTGCTGCAGGGCTTCTCAGAATGGTTACATGGTTATACGCGTTGTTCACGTGTGTGGGCCAAACCTCCCTGGCACCAAGAGGGACTAGAGTTTATCAGTGTAAGTGCAAAGGCCACAAAGGGAAGAGATGAAGAAAACCGGTCATTTGCTGTCTTTTTAAATCAAGTATTTTGAGGTTTGATATCCCTAGACTTTCTGCCACTTAGCCACTTATACGTTTAAAATACATATTTACACATGTGAGAGTTTGTATGTGTGCATTATACATATGCTTGTACAGTTTGATTACTTCATTTTCTTCTACAACTGAGGGAAACGAGTAGCTGAACTGAGAGTTACTGTGGTGAAGAGGAGCCATTCAGTACAGAGTGATCATACAAACTGAGTGGAGTTCTCCTTTTTGATACTATGGTAATTAAGAAATAACCGTATGAGGATGTAGGAAATCCCGCTCCTTCACTGTGGACTGCTGTCAACTACTCTGGAGTTCTGTATGCTCTGTGGCAATTATGAAACTACTATAAAATATTACATAAAACAACTGAGCACAACCAGGCAGATGACAGACAAGATGATCGCAAGAGTGATATACACAAGAGTAACTGCATAATGTTCTATTTTACCAACTAGTAAGTTGAGACAATTTACCATAACATCATCAAGTTATGAGGTACAGCATCTGTTTTTGTAAATCATGTATTGCTTCTATGCTAGTGCCTCTAAGTGGCAGAATTTCAGACCTGCTTACGTGTGTAGGTGAGTGCGTAAGAGAGAGATTTGTTTCAAGGCTAGTGCTTTTGGTTTTCTAGTCTCTTTTGGTGTGGTTCAGTTACTTTATTGGCATATTGGATAAGTTTCAAGATTACTGCCAATGTATGAAGTAGACAGTATAAGGCTTTATGCTGTTCTGTTTGGATCTCTGATGCATACACCCTCCTGAAGTAATTGCAGCATTACTGTATTGCTCCACTGTTCTAGAATTCTACCTTTAAAAATATTTTCTAGATCTTTAAAGAAGAACAGCTGAGTTTTCTGTGTCTAGTTAGCTGCCAAGAGACTCCTAATTCCCTTAACATCTCCCACAGATGTACTCTAAAAAGCCAAAATACATTATTTAGAGCCTTATAGTTGGATGGAAGACACTACACATAACATCAAGTACTTCTTTCTCTATGTTAATAAGTATTAACTTACCAAGAATACTCAAGACACATATAAATTCTTCTAAAATTTATCTCAGAAATATTTTGCTTGCACGTCTCATCTGATCAATATATTTGCTTAATCCTTTGTGTAACTGAGAGAGAATGTACCTTTCCCAGTGAATATGTAAGGTTTTATTTTCATCCATGCTGAAGGAGATGTGTCCCATTTAAAAAAAAAAAGAACTTAATCTCTCCTGAATGACTTCAAGATCATCCTCTCTTCTTTAGTAGGCTCTGAACCTACTTACTCTTAAATGGCTCATATTCACAGATTAGGTAAGAGGAACAGAAGGGATGTCAGAGACAAATGGATACGAAAAAGGTAGAACAAAACGCAAGGGTGGAAAGAAACTGAAAAAACCCACTCCTGATAATTATTTTCTTCTGGAATGAAGCTGTAAGACAGAGTGATAGATGGTATTTAAGAATGAAAAAGGAAGTTCTGTTGGTTCGGTCAGAGATTTAACAAGGGCACACTCTGGTGAGGCGGACTGCTGCTCCAGTCATAAAAAGGTAACACCTGCCCCTGCTCTGTGATGCTGCACACTGACAAAAAACCGTCCTTATTTCTCACCTTTATAAATCTGACCCTCCCTGCAGCAGTGTCCGGATCACTAACCAACTCTCACCACTGTCAGCTCGCATAATCGAGGGTGTCACCAAAGGCTGCCTTCACTCACTTCCATGGAAGAAGGTTGGTCTCATGCCGTGAGAAACGGTGTCGGCTTTTTGCGCAGGACTTCCGACTACTCTAAAAATGAACAGAGCCTGTGTAAGTGGAATCTTTGCTCAGGAAATATTACTGAGGGAAAAGAACAGGTTATTTAGCGTTCCAACACGCTGCAGACTGTTACTGGCCTGCAGCGTGCGAGAGGCCGCAGTGAGGAGCGCGCAGGGCGGCCGGAGGGT